TGATCGTTTTTGATTGACCGTGAGACCGTTCAGATTGCTCTGATAAGAGATATGGACCAGTGTGATCCTTCGTTTAGTCATATTAAATTTAACTAAAGACAAACATGGAATTCTTCGGCAATAAAAAAGCACGGATATGATAAACTGTTCAGACAAACCTTTGTCGAATGCATAGCAAAGAGGGTTGGCGTATTGTATCCGGTTTGGTCGGGGAAAATTTCAACCGCTAAGTCANAATGTTGTTCGCCTTTCAAGGAGAGAACGTGAGAACGTGGTTTTCCCCAACCACATGAAACAACAGAAACGTGTCGCACAACTGTCTAGGACAAAAATGCACTCCAACTGACTAATCATCTGCATAAAAAATCCACCGTTATCCATAATCACTCTAACGGTAATGGGTGAATCAAAGGACTGTTCAAGTCCACCGCCAAATAACATAAACGGACAATAAAAATGATTTGTTTACGGCACCCAGCCATACCACTCAATGTTTCTAACCCTTGATTACAATGATCCCGAAGCCGCTTTCCAGTAAGTGGCCGAGTCTCTTGGTTAGAGTTTTCATACCCCTCATGTCAAGTCTTATTTTGACCACCCTTCGTTTATCCACTCATTATCTGCCACGATTTACTGATCAATAAGTGGCTTTATTTATCCTGAACGGATATCCGGGGTTGTAACTTGGTCTAAAGTTCGAGTTTGGGTTTTGTGACTTGCAGGTAGGAGGATTGATTTGTCCATTTGTATAGATGAGCACCCAAAAGGACGGATTCAAAATGAATAGTAATTATCGAGTCTATTATTAGGAGAATAGCACTTTTCCACGCTCATGTTTGGGTGTCGCACGAAATTAATCAGGATCACAGTGCACACGAAGTATCATACAGCTTCGGTGAGACACAGAAAGTGACCGTGACCCGAGTGAACAGTGGACTATACCTAGTACACAAAGCAAGGAGAAGCGGATAAGAAAAACAACATTAGGAAACCCAAGAGCACATCACCATACACGTGATGTTGGTACAATAAAACCACATAAAAATAGTTATGATTGTGTAACACTGTTTTTCTTTTTACCAAAGTGCTAGCACTGCCTTGGAACAACGAAATAACGCTGACTGAGTTTAAGAAAAATCTCATTTTGCACACGATCTCAGATATGCGGACAAAGGTGAAACACAAGATCATCACATACGAGAATAAAATAGATGGAGAAAGTCCCTCCGATTCCGTTCGGAAGAGGCGTGTGCACAGATCACATCGACAAGGCATTGCTGAGATTTGGTCTAGCTGAAACTAGCAGTGATGTGATCTTCTAACTGAGTTATCCGAGAGCTGCAAACGAGAAACTGTCCACACGTATTCGAAGCAAATTTGCCCCTGATCATTAGACCTAAGTACACGAACGCATCTCGAACTAACACTTAGAATCATTCCACGTATATTGGAATTATATGAATCAAGAGCCAGTTTTGGGAACATTATTGGGACCTATTACTTTAAGGACAGCTGAATTGCGCAGTAAACCTCGTCCACCAACCAGGGAGTAATGAATTGCGTGTTCACGTGCCACACACCGCCTCGTCGAGGGTTTTAAGCCCCGGTTACTCACTGTTAAAATGATTCGGTTCACCTACACAGCGATTTGCTCAGATCTGGCCTCTGATTCATACTTCAGTATCTTCCAATGAGAGAGCATTCAGTGAATCAAAGAGACCACAGTAGTGGAGTATACCCATAAGAGTACGATAGTTAACAAGATAACAGGTCCTACCTACTCCGATCGGATAATTCATCATGCATCTGAAGAAAAAAGTGCAGGTATTTGAATTCATTTAACGGGTGATTTCACTTGACTTCTTGCCTCCATTCGTGTTGATTTAATGTACTTTGTACTCTGGTCAAACAATGTATATGTAAGACGAGATATTACACAATATATTTTCAGTTGAATTTTACTCATGTTTGAATTTTTATATGAGAAGTTTAACTTGCACAGTTCATTCAGTCGCGTATGAGCGCGAATCATTGTAGGACCTTCGGCTGTATGCTCCACACAATGGATTCCATGTAGATTAAATAGAGAGGAACTGATAAGAAAATCCATAAAACGAATGATAATAAGTGGTGTGGTCATACACTTCTTGGAACCAATGGACGAACATTACAGAGCGAATACTACGGAACGTTTCCTGGAAACCACACTTACCTTCGCAGTACACTGTGACAAGATTTTAGGTGGCGGATGAGAAACTAGTTGGCTTAACAACGACTTGATGCCACTTATTTTTGTATTACTTACCGAGTCTTCCCGACTGGCGGATTCCGGCTGAAAGCGAAGCCAAGACTGGCCCAAAATCAGATCCCCTTCGACCGGAGGAATGTGAAGCAAACCGACTAGACTACAAGCCCATATACCCTGGACATCACGACGACCGGCAGAAGCCAGCTGAACCAAAGGGGATGCAGGCAAAGGTAAATAGAGCGGAAGTTGTGACCAGTTGCATGCACGTCGGTCCGGCGGATGATCCACGTGATCCGGAAGACCAATCAATGCAGCAATTGGATGGCGAGTACGACGATGTGCTGGTTAGATAGGGTAGGAATCGATAATTTTACTGGATTGAAAGTCTCGCTCTCTAACAAAATAAGAAACTAGAGCGAAATATCGGGAATCTCTTTTAAAGTTGTATAAATTTCTTTTCATGAGAACTCCCACTGTGGGAAAACACTAGATAAGACAAAAGCAATGAGCATCAGTTTGACTAACATTAAAAACAATAGCGGACAGAGAACATAGGGGATAGAACCCGTATATTCGAAGAACACAAAAACATGTGAAGTTTGTCTTAGAAAGGTATCATGGCACGTGCTAACCAAAAAATAATCCCATAGGAAGGATAATAGACATGCCAACAAAACTGCATATCGAGATCAGAATACGAAACCCATATAAGTGAAGGGAACGAAATCGCTCGTAGTGCATGATCAATACCTTATCGTGATGGTGTTATTGTTCCCTGGACATCAATCCCGATTTAATCCAAAAAAGATTTCATTGCTCTTTCGTGTACCGGTTTTAGTTGCTGTCTTATGGCTGCCCATTTCGATAAAACAGAAGGAGAATGAATGGAATGTTGCGAACGTAGTCAAACAGAAGATAGAGAATCCACGTGGACTAAGGTTACAAGGATAATGATTAGATGTACGAACGCCACGGTTTGCGATACCCGACCATATGACTCAGTGCCTCTACCCACCGGTCACGATGACCCCGGGGTCCAAATCGGGGAAGTCTAACGCGTCCCGCAGCTGGCCTCCGACTGCAGATGCTGTATTCAGGTTGATGACTGAGTAGCAAAAACCGGGCTAGAATCTCACAATCGGTAAAGTTGACACTACTCCAATTAGGTGCCATGCGGGCCACGCTCATTCAGATGCATTTGTGCTGGAGATGTACATCAGCTACCGTCAGTTCATATTATTCAACTGAAGTTTGAAACATTTTTATGCGATTGATAAGTGAGCGGTATGATTATCGTGCAAGTGGGAGAACACGAATGCGGAACGGACTCAACATAAAACGCGAAAAAATGGGATGAGAAACTGAAGAGATGTACCACATCATAATGCCAAAACGAGACAGCGTAATGCACCATTGATGTGGAAATTAACTGTGCACGGCATGTTAACCGATAGATTTACCAAAAGAACAGCATGCATACGGTATCCCAAAATCTTAATTCGTCGTGCTGAGTCACGAGAAAATACACTTAATGGATAAGTGATGATCTTCGTATCATCTAAGACAGGAATTATTCCGATGTGACGTTAGAGATTGAGTTACATGGTTTCTTGAGCTAAAAAGGATGAGTATTTTAGTGCTTGTACTGAACAAAGGTCATGGATTGTGAAGAGGAAAGGGCAGGTACTTCATTGCCAGAATGCTGATGGATAACGAGTACCTTTTAAGGTATTTCGTTTCCGGTAGCCGTGTGATCGAGTCAAAATGCCATTCCACAATTGTGCTCTATTTTCCGGCATTGAACTTGTGGTCCTAGAAAATATTACACTACTAGCATTTGGATGCTTTCAAAATGGGTTCTCTAGGATTATTGTCGGTGTACGGACATCGCATCATTGCTGTGCTCACATTAGCAATGCCAGTTGCCAGTGCAAGGCACATCATCGTGAGTATAAGCATTCCCATTAATGGTAACAATAGCGTCTTATTTAATATGCAATAACCAGTGTTCAGGCCACATACCAAAACTGGTTATGAATTCACATTATAAAATTTCTCGCAGTGATTAAGAATGTGAGTTGTTGCATCGTTCGCAAGGGGATTCCGCTTCATTTTTGCTCATTAACTCAATCACATTGAAGTTTCCAGTTCCAAAAATCAAAATGTGGTTAGACAGACAATTGAACAACAAAAAGACAAACGAACATCATAGTAACAAGAGTGGTTGAATGCGATTCAGTACGCTATAACACATATGAATGAGAAAACGAGTCGGTGAGCGAACAATTGTTTTCGGATATTCCTAGCCATGCTCTTACATATCATATANTATCATATAGTGGAAAAGATTCTTACATAATGATAGCCATTGGCTCAATTTAAGGTCATTAATCAGAGGCAGAGAGTACTGGATTAATGATTAATGACCTTAAATTGAGCCAATGGCTATTATTATGTAAGAATCTTTTCCACTATATGATATGTAAGAGCATGGCTAGGAATATCCGAAAACAATTGTTCGCTCACCGACTCGTTTTCTCAATGCTATCATGGGAATATTCAAACATAGGAATGACACCGTGACATACCTAAAAAAGTTTGCTTCTCTGGTAACATGAGACGATCAGCCAACGGGAGATGTATCTGGAACATACGACGTCGTTGACGCATTGGACCTTCAACGGGATCCACACAAAGAATCCCAGGAGCAGAGTTCGGGTCGTAAAACAATGCACTGCAAGGTCGAATGAGAACCGAGATGAAGAAAAGTGAAGCCGGAAGGGGAAAGCGCATTTGTTTGAGCAATGAAAGCATGTATGATAACAAAAAATCGATTGGTAATCAAATATCGAAGGTCGAAGGTATATCATTGAACTGCTTGCTGTGGGCTACCGTCAAAACAAGGCACCCTTACAAATATCGAGACCGGGCAGTTGGTTGGTAGTTCAACAGTTTTTTCCTAGTAGGATGCTTCAAATAGTCTGCTATTTAATTTTTTCCGATGATCACTGGTGTGCAGAAAATATTGCTGAATCCAAACATCCGGGGAACAGTGGATCGGTAAGGGGATCTCACGTGCTCTAAACTTGATATCCATCTGAATTTCGATAGACCCCTTTGTATTTTATTTTATATTTTCACAGATCTCTGAGTTCAGACTGTGTACCAAAAATATCACAATAAAATTATGTCTATAAAAAAGAAAAATGTTCGATGATTCGCTTGTGGGCGTGATATTGCCAAGTTGTCCAGTCCAAGACAGGTGAATTTTCTCGGAGAGTTCACAACCGTAGCTAACCAACACCTGACCCATCAAGCAATGAAGCGGTGTGCGAAGATCGAAATGTATCGGGGGTTGGTGTGCGGTTCATCAGATCACACACCCTTTGGATGGGTTCAAACATTCAAGATGCCCAATATACCTCGATGCTCAGTTGACCCCGTGACGACTGCCAAAACCAGAAAGATGTGGTTCGCACGCCTCTTCTTGGTTTCGAATCGTGGTTTTTAGCCAACTCTAGCCGATGAACTGCCAGTGGTTCACTGACCCGATTGTACCCAGGATGTTGGCTTTCCCCCTCCCTCACGTTGGTGGAAAAACACCTCCACACCTTCTCCAGACTGTGCGGTATGTCCCGTCACAGTGCATCACACTAGTGCATATTAAAATCGAAAACGGTCCTCAAAACAATTTGCAAGTATATTCGGTCTCAGGATCAGGACTGAACTTGACCGTGTGATCAATCGTTCCTCCCTATCAAACGTGTGTAGTGTAAGTCTTTTAGTACCAGCAAGCCATGGAACGGATATTGTGACATCATTATTATGTTGTAACTTGGGGGATAAAATTTCTAATTATTATCTCCATGATTCGTCAACTGTTACCACATTCAATGAGTTTAGAGCAAGATATGCTTCGCGGCGGCCCACACCGACGAAGGGAGTATTCCCGGAGCAACACAATCAGACTCCAAGGTCCGACACAGATTTACCACCCGCTTTTGGGAACTCTCACAAACGTATTGCCTAAAAGCTTTAGAGATTCGGTTTTGTGCTTTCCTTGCTGGTGCGTTGATGATCAGTTCGCCGTTTGGGACCGTTCCTGCCCCTTACCAACTTACCGAGACAGGTGGAATGGGGATGGGACGGCGACTTGTTGGCAAAGGGCTGTCCAGATTTGGCTGTCGACGGCGATACAATGAAGAACCAATACTTCTTCCCCCATTTTGAGGATCCCCCAGATACTCTAATTCGAAGTCCACTTAGCGATTTTGTATCAGTAAGTTGCTTCTCCGTGTTTGTTTGCCGAGATTATTTTTAAAGAGAGGAGACTGCATAGTTAAAGAAGCAAAGCGCTTAATCTGCTGGTCGTGTGATACCGAGGCTCGTTTTATCTTGCTAATAGTTCTACAAAATGAACTTCACTGATGGCTGTCATACAAACGACAAACACAGTAAATAAGGAAGCTGAACGGGGATGGGGAGTGGAACTGATTCGAGCGAAGGGGATGAAAGATGGATCTCTATGATAAAGATATACAATAGACCGTCTACGTGTA